AAAAAAAAAAAAAAATTAAAAAATTATCACCACCCGGAAAAAAATTTGGCGTCATCAACATTTTGAGTTTCACACATGTCAGGCTTTTATGAATGCATTTCTTTGAATATCGTTGCCTCAGAATTACTACAAAGTTCTTTCTGCTCAGTCAGTGCCTTAGTTTTTGAGAGATTTGATGTCAAACATTTTGAGTTTGACAACACGTCGAGCTTTTTCGAATACACTTCTTTGAATATCGCTACCTCGGAATTACTACAACATTCTGTCTGCCCAGTGCCTAGTTGTTTTTTTAATTTGGCGTCATCAAAATTTGTGAGGCAGCGTGGTGGAATCAGGCGCTCGTCAAAATAATTAAAATGAAGAAACTTGCATTTTTCCACAGGTTTGTGAATTTTTATTAAATTTTTGTTTTTTGGCTCAACACCTTTCATACCCATTAAAGAACTAATTTTTGTGTGGACTATTCTGAAAAACGTTGATTTAAGGCACAAAAAAGTAAATTTTCAGTTTCCACGGACTCTTAAGCTAAGGAAATAACTAACTTTGTTAAATGTCTAATTTCTCTAAACTAGGCTCTAGCGATATTCAAAGAAGTGACGAGTTGTGAAACTCAAAATGTTTGACATCAAATCTCTCAAAAAACAAGGCACTGACTCAACAGATATAACTTTGTAGTAACTCAAAATGTTGATGACGCCAATTTTTTTTAAAAATTAGGCACTGAGCAGACAGAATTTTGTAATTCCGAAGTAGCGATACTCAAAGAAGTGCATTCGAAATAAGCTTGACTTGTTATAAAAAAACTCAAAATGTTTAATGTCTAATTTCGAAAAAACTTGACATGTCGTGAAACGCAAAATGTTGATGACGCCAAATTTCTCAAAACTAAGGCACTGACTGAACAGATAGAACATTGTAGATTTAGTCATTCTGAGGTAGCGATATTCAAAGAAATGCATTCGAAAAAGCTTGATGTGTTGTGAAACTCAAAATGTTTGACATCAAATCTCTCAAAAACATGGCACTGACTGAACAGATAGAACTTTGTAGTAATTCTGAGGTAGCGATATTCAAAGAAATGCATTCGAAAAAAGCTCGACATGTTGTCAAACTCAAAATGTTGATGACGCCAATTTTTTTTTTTAAATAGACACTGAGCAGACAGTATTTCGTAATTCCGAGGTATCGATATTCAAAGAAATGCATTCGAAAAAGCTTGACGTGTGGTAAAAAACTCAAAATGTTTAATGTCTAATTTCGAAAAAGCTTGACATGTTGTGAAACGCAAGATGTTGATGACGTCAAATTTCTCAAAACTAAGGCACTGACTGAGCAGATAGAAATTTGTAGATGTAGTAATTCCGAGGTATCGATATTCAAAGAAATGCATTTAAAAAAGCTGGACGTGTCAAA